TTCTTTGCAGTGTTATTTGCAATGGCCAAGATACGGAAACAACCATAGTCCATCAATTGGTGAGTGGATACAGAAATTGTGGTGTGTATATGGTGGTTTGTGACACAGAGATGGATCTTAAGGGCATTACGCTAAGTGAAATAAGTTAGACAAATACTGCATAATCTCTCTTATATGTGGAATTTTTTTTCTTATTAAAAAAAGCACACAGATAAGTAGAACAGATTGGTCATTGTCAGAGCTATGAGGATTGGGGGTTGGGAGAAATGGGTGAAAGTGGTGAAAAAGTGACAAGAAAAAAAAAGACAAGTTGAGAAGGAGAGACCTTTGTGTGTACCTATAATTACATTTGTCCCTGCTTTTTGAACAAAGGACCCCGCATTTTCTCTAGGATATGCAGTTATGTAGCCAGCCCCATTCCTACTTCAAACTGAGTTCCTTAAGATGTTTATTCATCATATTATTCTGTGTCTAGTATAATAACTGACATTTATTAGATCATAAAAAATGCTTTTTGAGATAATTTTATTAATTTGATTTATAGTATATATGTGTGTATCCATAAAACATCTAAATATCTAGGGGCGCCTGGGTGGCTCAGTGGGTTAAAGCCTCTGACTTTAGCTCAGGTCATGATCTCAAGATCCTGGGATCGAGCCCTGAATCAGGCTCTCTGCTCAGCCGGGAGCCTGTTTCCCTTCCTCTCTCTCTGCCTGCCTCTCTGCCTACTTGTGATCTCTGTCAAATAAATAAATAAAATCTTTAAAAAAAATCTACATATTTATTTATGCATTTATATAGTACAAATTAGTAAAAATGTATACTGTGAATGTAGAATGATACATGCAGTAGATAGATAAATATAAAATATTTATAAAACAGGTTTCTAAATATTTTGGTCTTCCAGTTATCATTCTATATTAAGAGACTGCTGCTTTAGTCCCTTTGATTTTAAAAGGTCATTAATTCAAATGCTGACATAATCAATACTGTATTTTAAAAACTCTTAAGGAGTAAATTAATATCTGGATTAAGTGGATTCATTGTACCATAAGCTTTCAGAATGTGCCCATTGTCAGCACATTTCTATGAGAAATAAATACAAAAGTACTACCTGCCTCATTCAGTTATTATGAGGATTAAAGAAGAAAGTATACATAAAGCTAAGCCCAGGACTTGGCTCTCACCCAGGACTTGGGTGAGAATTTACTAAATATGAATTATTATTGTTATTTCTCCTTAACTGGCCTCACTGTGTAATAAGTTTTTTGGGAGCTCAGCCCTAAAATCTTGGTTAGTATCTCCTCAATGACAAGGACTGTGTCTTATTCATCTTTGCATATATAGTGCCTGACATGTAGATGGCTGTTTTATAGTATAGTGGTACATATATGTCAGAAGGACTAAAATTTTATTCTATTACATAAGTAACCAGTCATTTTTGGTGGCTTGATTTTGTTCAGGAAAAGCACAGGATATTGCCAAGGTTTTGAATGCCAGGGTTGTAATTCAAGCACCTGTAGGAATTACCACATCATGGCAGTTTTTAACCTTCTTTTCCCAAGGAGACATACTCCATACCCAGTATTCTCCAGTGGATGTACTCAGCACTGGGAGCAGCCAATTAGTTGTAACTCTCCTCATTTCTCTTCCACTTAAGGATGTAAGTTATTATGCAAATAATCAAGAGTGACCCAGTGAGAAGATAATCATGAATCCATGCTAAATTAAAATTTTAAATCATTTTATACATTATTATTTTAACTATTATCATAATTATTGTGTTTTGTGGTGACTAGCTCAAACTCCTTCAAAGAATTCTTTGAATTCTTCAAAATTCTTCAAAGTCAACACTTTTGTATCTTACCACTTCCTGTCTACTTAGTCACAGCTAACTATTCCCTCTGTAAATTCTCTGTTCCCTTGGTTTCCATGATACCAGTATTGCCCTGGTACTCACCACTCTGCCAAAACTGGTCCTTCAAAGGCTACGAGTGACTACAAATTAACTTCCATCAGTCCTCATTCTCTCTACCCTCTAAGCAACTTTCAATATTACAACTACCTCCTCCATGAAAGTCTCTGCTTCCTTGGTTTCTCTGATAGCAAGAACTATCCTGGTTTTCCCCTTGGCCTTCTAACCACTTCTGACTCCAATGATGTGCCTCATCTTTCTCCCCTAACCCCAATCTGCAGATTCCTCAAGGATTTTTCCTAGACCCTCTTACTCTCTCTTTCATTCTCCCTTCCTTGGTGATATCATCCATTTCTAGTACTTTAGACATCATTCTCAGGTATGTAACTTCTGCATATTTATCTCCTGGCTGCTCTCCCTATCCAACTGTTATCTCTTGTTTCTAATATTGCTGGATTATCTGGACATTCATCTGGTGGCTCAAATTCAATATACCAAAAATATTTGTTATCTTTGCACTAAAACTAACTCCTTATCATGATTTTTGTTAGTGGATATCATACTTGTGTTAGGCTGGCTTAAAAACCTTTGAAATCATTCTGGAATATTTCTGGTACTTCTCTTTACCTTTGCCTTTCTTTTTTATCACCTTTCAGTTCAGTAAAACTGTTCAGGGTTGCCTAAGGCCTATCTCTGCACTGTCTTTGTATCCCTTCATTTTCTACTTCTTCTGAATGGTATTGCCCAGCTACAGATATGGTGAAGAACATCATACAGACTTCACAGTCTGGCAGAGGGAAAAAAAGGGATAAAATCAGTAATTATAATACAGTGATGTAGAAGTAAAGGAGAAACATTCCAGGGAAGGGAGGACAGGTAATACTTCTTAAAGGGGGTAACATATAAGCCAAACCAAAAGATGAACAGGAGTCAGACTGATAAAGGCAAGATGAACATTCTGGAAACAATGATAACACAATAATGCCAGTGAAGAAGACCACAACTCATTGTTGATATGTAGGTAGCTCTGTAGGACTGGAGCTCTGGCTTCATGGGGAAAGTAGGAGGTAAAGCCCCAGAGGTAGTAAGAATGGAGGGGGGCATTTGGGGCCTTGATTTCAGTTACCTATTGCTCTATAACTAACCACTATGAATTTCATGTCCTAAAACAACAGCCATTGATTGTTTCCTCAAAATTCACCAATTGGGCAGCCATCTCTGGTGATGGCTCATCTCCGCTCCATGTGGCACAGGCTGGTACTGCTGCACTGGGGTAGGAGGATCCAGGATCCTGCCTCAGAGGGCTGGTGCTTCAGCTGGGGTGGCATTGGCTGGCTCTCTCTTTTTCTTTTCACCTGGTCTCTCAAGCTCTAGTAGCCCAGGTTCTTTACATGGAAGTTGTATCTGAAGAGAGCAAAAACTGGAAGCAGCAGAGCTTCTTATGGATTAGCCCAGAAGTCACAGGACATCCTTTCCCCTACATTCTCTTGGTCAAAGTAAGTCACAAGATAAGTGCGTTAGAAAAGAAGAAATAGATCCTACCTCCCTTTGAGAGGACCAGCATGAATGCCAAGGGATAGGAGGAAATGTTGGCAGCCATCTTTGTAGAGGATGTTTCACAGGCCTTATAGATCACTACACTTTGAAAGGTACAGGATTTTAAGCTTTTAGGATTTTAAGCAACAGACTGACATTTTAGACATATCTGTTTAAAAATATGTCTTTGATTTCTTAAAAAAGACTGAATTGCAGAGGGGGGGAAGGTCAGGGCCGGTGCTTGGGAACAGGACAACCAGTGGGAAGCCTCTACCAGCATGTTCCAGGTCAACCTCAGGAAATAAAACCTTCTATGGGTTCTCATGCCTTGCCAATATTTTCCTCCTTATGGAAACGAATGGAATGACGAAAATGTGATGGGTGTCTTTAAATTTTTTACTTTCTTCCTTCCTTCCTTCCTTCCTTCCTTCCTTCCTTCCTTCCTTCCTTCTTTCCTTCCTTCTTCCCTTCCATTCTTTCTTTCTTTCTTTCTTTGGCAAAACACCACTGAGGTATCTACCCAGAACTCTTTGCCCCTTTCAGAAAGATGGATTCACATCTGCTGTGGGGGAGGAAATATGTAACATTGCAAATTTTCTGGCCAGTGCTTTTTTATTTAGAAATACTACTCCTTGCTTATTTTACATTACTGTTTCTATGAATAAACCAGGAAAGTTGGATGGGACTTTTGGGGAAGGCAGAAGCCTGCTTTGTATTTCTAGGAGCTCTTCCTGAGTCAGATTGTGCAGGTTTATATGATGATAAAACCCATATGGGCACTTTATTTCTACGCAAAGTGAACCCCTTGACTCTTGCTTTTAGTCCCTACTACAGTGGTCTACAATGCCTATGAAAAAGCCACAGAAAATATTTACACAATGTGAAATGTTTTATTATACCACCTTGGTAACTAAATTTCCTTCATGAATAACAGTTTTAATATGCAATCAATTGTAACTTGTGTAAAGGAAAAAAGAGACTAGTGCTTATTAGTGCTTGCTAGAGCAAAAGAAGATCCAAAATCTGGGAATGGGAAGGAGATGATCCTTTGGATTTTCAGGGGTTCCTGGATCCAAAATTTCAGTCTATAAACAAGAGTCTCTCTTTATTGGTATGAGAACCTTAAGATAAGGTTACAATGAGATGCCTCTTTCTCAGGGTGCAAATGTTCTTTCGGGTTTCTGAACATTTAGTGAATGCAATGGTGGGCATCAGGGATGATGTTAATTTCCCCCCACAGGCTCCAGAACACCTTGGCTAGAAGCCAGGATCACGTAGAGAGATTCAGTCTCAAATCCCAGCTTTGCCATTTCCTAGTTATGTGACAGTGAGCAAATTCCTCAACCCCTCTAAACTTGGTTGGTTTTTTTCTCCCTCTGTAAAACCTCACTAAAAACTGTACCTCTTTTGTAGGATCATTGTGATGGGCAATAAGAAATACTATTTATTACACTTAGCCTAGTGAATGGCACAAGTGCTTAGTAAATTTTAACTGTTACTGTTTTAATGGACTTCCTGCTGATGTTTGCTGTTTCTCTTTACTTTTCAGGGAGATGTTAATCTCTGTGGCTCTGGGCCAGGTGTTATCCCTTCTTATTTGTGGAATTGGCTTGACCAGCAAGTACCTGTCAGAAGATTTCCATGCCAATACACCAGTCTTCCAGAGTTTCCTCAATTACATCCTTCTCTTCTTGGTCTATACCACCACACTAGCTGTCAGACAAGGTAAGCATGCAAAAACCCATATGTAGCTTGGAATATAGCTCAATTTCTTTTTTACAAACATCTAGAAGAATGATGAGCCGTGACTAAATTAACTTTTTTCACTTACAGCATCATAAGCCAATTCAGAACCTCAAATCTCACTTTTCTATTTTACAGTAATAAAGCAAACAGAATGAATGAATAAATCACAAAGAAGCAGAAATTGTGTGAATTCAGCGGGAAGTGGGAAATGCATGTATAGGCAAAATGTACAATTGCTCACTATCTGAATTTCTGTTAATGTTCCTCATACCCCTCCGTGAATCTAAATAGAGTGCTTCCCTGGAAGCTGGAACGGCCTGATGCAGCTGTCCTCACTCACGCCCGTCCTGAGAAATCCAAGGGAAAAACAGACAAATGTATGTTCCTTGGGAAGGTGTCACAAGAAACATAAAAATAGTAAACACGAACAACTCTATTAATAATAAAGAGGAAAAGAAAGGAAAGAAAACTACCACAAATGGTCAGAGGAGATAGTCTGTCTAAATTTAAAATAGCTAAAACAATAAAACAAGTCCTCCAAAGATCAAAACAAGAAAAACTTTTAGGGGCACCAGAGTGGCTCAGGGGGTTAAAGCCTCTGCCTTCGGCTCAGGTCATGATCCCAGGATCCTGGGATCAAGCCCCGCATCTGGTTAGCAGGGAGCCTGCTTCCCCCTCTCCCTCTACCTGCCTCTCTGCCTACTTGTGATCTCTGTCTGTCAAATAAATAAATAAAATCTTAAAAAAAACACACACACACAACTTTTTAATTGGCCTGAAGTTGAAATATTTGGGGGGGTATCTCTAGAGAATGTAATTCAGAACCGTATGACTTAACACTGAATCTGTTGTAAATCCTCTTTCCTCTGGCCCAGAAATAGCCAACAATTCACCCCCTAGAAGCTGTTCACCGTGAAATATGCATTGAGAAATAATCATTAATAGGTTCAAAGACAATTATATACTTTATAATAAATAAGGATATGTGAATAGCTTTATTCATCAAACCTAATAATCATACTTTTTTGAAACTTTTATAAGAACCGTATCAAGTATTTCATTTTTATGCTTTATATAAATGGCCATACAGAATAATATTGCTTAATCATAACAATGTGGCCAATACTAGATTTTGTTCAGCTGGGACTGAATTCCAGTTTAACTTTGGAATTTTTTTTTTTTAAAGATTTTATTTATTTATTTGTCAGAAAGAGAGAGAGAGAAAGCACACAAGCAGGCAGAGAAGCAGGCAGAAGCGGAGAGAGAGGCAGGCTCCCTGCTGAGCAAAGAGCCCGATACGGGACTCGATCCCAGGACCCTAGGATCATGACCTGAGCCGAAGGCAGCGGCTTAACCCACTGAGCCACCCAGGCGTCCCTAACTTTGGAATTTTTTTAAGTATTGGAAAAGCTAATTTCATTTACTTCTCAAAAAATTGTATTATCGGTGCTTTGCTTTAAAACTACAATAGACATAATTAATTTAAGAATAAAATTTCAACTAAAACTCAGGCTTCAAAAGTTCTAGATGTTGAGTCTCAGCTATATTTCCTCAGTGTGATCTGGAAGCTAACAGTTTGCACAGTACTAATGCAAAAAAGAAAACCCACGAAATTCACAGGAATATGGTGAATTTATCTTCTCAAGATTTTTAGAATGAAATTGTCTAGGTAAGAGATGGTGAATTGTAACTAGTCTTGGAGGTTCTTGTCCATCTTACTTTCCAGGAATCCAGAGATTTAACAAAAACTTCATGAGAAAAAATATAAAACTGTCACTCTAAGAAACAAAATTTCACAGTCCGAAAAGCTTAGAAAACTACATATAGCAAAAGACCTACACTTTATAACGATACCTTTTGTTAAAACTCTATAATATGCTAGACACTATGTATGTAAGTTATCTCTATTATTCCTTCAGCCAAAGAAAGTAAGTATTATCATCCAAAATTTTATAAGTTAGGAAATCGGTGTTTCACCTGTGTCAGGAACCTGCTCTAGGCTGTAGAACTAGTTGCTGTAAGGCTCACCCCAGGCCAAGGTCACAGGCCTCCTGGGATTCCCTGTAACACCATGTGGGATCTAGGGGAGGCCGGAGAAGGAAAAGAAGATACTTTTGAACAGAAAGAAGGGGGTTTGCTTGAATTTTTAAATCCTGAATAAGAAACCAGCCCTGGGGCGAGGTCTAGTGAGGCACAGCAATGAAATCAAGACAATGTGATTCTGGATTGGGTGGAGAGAGTGGACCAGGGAGAAGCACCCCTGGCAAGAGGCCAAAAACTAGGACAAGGAATTTGGAGCCTCTTTGGAAAAAAGACTGAAGGGCACCTGAGGAAATTCTGTTTATCCCATCCAGTGATGGAGAGAATCAGTTTCTAAAATGACCTATCTGGAGATTTCTGCCATTGCCTCAGATTACCACTCAATTCACTGACATGTCTTTATGTTGGTGTTTACTTAGACGGTTTGTTTTAATCTCATCTTTAGAATTTTTTTTTAATTTTTAAGATTTTATTTATTTGATAACAGGCAGAGATCACAAGTAGGCAGAGAGAGGAGGAAGCAGGCTCACTGCTGAGCAGAGAGCCCGATGTGGGGCTCGATCCCCAGTCCCTGGGATTATGACCTGAGCTGAAGGCAGAGGCTTTAACCCACTGAGCCACCCAGGCGCCCCTCATCTTTAGAAGTTTTAAAAGGCTAGCATTAAGCTAAAATCAGGAAATCAACATACTAATTACATTAATTTTTTTATAGGCTGATTCAATACTATGTTCTAGAGACATAATTTCTTTCCCTATGCACCCCAAGATATGAGAGGGAATGAAAAACAGAGCAGAGAGGATGAAAGGATGAAAAGTCTGGTGTGTGCAGGGGACATGCTCTCACAGCCACAATTTCTTCTTTGCTGGTACTTCCTGACCACTCTTCCCAGAGGTCTGGAGATCAGGACTGAACAAAATTACTATCTTTCCCATTATCCCAGCACAGACACCGTTTACCTGCCAAGTCATCATTTAATTTGATGTCACCTTAGGCCACATAACTGTAAGAAGTTAGTCTCAGGATATTTTTAAACAAATATTTTTTTATCATTGTAACCATACAACTTCTAAAAAGTTATGATTATCACATGTGAATACAATGTGATAAATGCAAGAAGGCTTCCAAGAGTGCTCAGGGTGATACTATGGCAAATGCCTTGTGGAGATTTGACTTAAAATTAAACTGAGTCCTCTTTACTAGATTTGCTCTGAACCAGTGACCAAAGACCTGAAGCAACAGGTTCCAGTAGAAATTCCAATATAACTCCAGTTCAAGCGGGAGTTCTGAACTTGTCCCTTATTATTAATTGGTTCCTACAAAAAAATCTGACTTCCATCCTCCTTTAAAAAATATCTATCTTGTTGGACAAGTTTTAAGTCTAACCCTTTCCTTGACTGGTGACAGGTTTTTATCCCAGATAGTTCTATGATATGCTTTTTTTTTTTTAAGATTATATTTATTTATTTGAGAGCGATGAGAGGGCATGAGCAGGGGAGGAGCAGAGGGAGAAGCAGACACCCTGCTGTGAGAGGATTCCCCACGTGGGCCTCAATCCCAGGACACTGGGATCATGACATGAGCCAAAGACGGTCACTTAACTGACTGAGCCACCCAGGCGCTCCTGTTCCAGATAGTTCTAAAATTCAAAACGATTTTGCTGTTCATAACAAAGAGCTTCAATAATACAACTTTACAGAAAAAGTGTGCTTCAAACAAGTAGTTCTGTTGACACTGTCGCAACTTTGAGAATTTAACTATAACTTCAGTAGGTTGATAGTATCCACTTTTGAGAAGTTGTTTAGGCAATTAAAATTTTTGAAGTAAGTAAGGCCTAAAATCCAGACTCAGGCTGTATGTACCTAGTAGGGCTTCAGGAATTATAAAGGAAAGCTCAGCTCTCTTCCTTCTTTCCCTTACTCATGCTCTTGTCACCAGATGTGTGGTGTTTTTCCTACCAAGCAATTCTGTGGTGTCCTACAGTTGATCTCAGTTCTGACCCTGTCTACCTGGAGATAGCTAGCATAAGATTACGCAGGTTAAGAACTGAATCTCACACGACTGCCCCCTCACTTCAGAGGCCAGTCGCAAGTCTGGGTTGTAACCTGTGCTTCTGACTGATGGACTCCAAATCAGACATTCCTTCAGCTTCCTTCTTGAGTTTGATGAACTTGCTAGAGTGGTTCCCAGGACTCAAGAATAGAGACTACTTACTGTTTATCAGTTTATTATGAAAGGATATGATAAATAATATAGGTGAAATTCCAAAGGAAAGAGATGAGCAGGGCAAAAGTATGTGGGAAGGGGCATGGAGCTTCCGTGCCTCTCTGGGCATGCCACTCTCTCTGCACCTCCGTGTGATCATCAACCCTGAAGCTCTCTGAAGCCTCTACTTTGGAGATTTTCATGGAGGCCTCATGATGTAGGCATAATTGATCATTAACGCCATGTCCAGCCCCTTACCCCTTTTTGGGGAATGGACAGCTGGGGCTGAAAATTCCACACTTCTAATCATGGCTTGGACTCTGTGGTAACCACTCTCTATCCTGGAGCCCACCAGGAGTCACCTCATTCAAACAGAAGACAGTGCCATCACCTTGGAAATTCCAAGGGATTTAGGAACACTGTGTCAGGAACCAGGGTCAAAGACCAAACATTAGAACAAAAAATGCTCCTGAGTACTCTTATTACTTAGGAAATTACAAGAGTTTTTGGAGCTCTGTGCCAGAAACTGGGGACAGAGACCAATATGTATATTTTCTGTTGTCTCACAGGACTGTAATTACAAAAGTATAGGGAAGCTTACAAAATTTTTATGGATTTGCCTAGGAAATTCTCAAAAGAAGGCTCTTCCTCATATCTACTTTTTTTTTTTTTTTCCTTAAAATTCAATGTAATGCTAGCTGAAACCAGGAAGCAGAGAACACAGAAAGCAAAGACT